AAGAAAAATGCTTGGCAAAGTACATCTCAGCAGTGGCCAATTTTAAAACATTTGAGACATTTTATCAGTTGTCCCGACAGCAGATGGAAGCTTCTGCTTTCTCCTATCCTTTGCTTACATCACCGAGTTCTTTCGAGCTTACAGTGCCTTTTCCAGATTAACTTGTTTAGCATGTTGCTTATTTGCTACTCCCAGACACATAGAGAGCAAAGTACAAAGTGAACATTTCCCCAGGACTGTAGAGAATATATAATTCAACTGTTAGTTATCTTATGAGAGAGGAACTGCAAACCCAGGCATACCCCTTGTATGTCCACAGAACACCTTCATTCCACGCCAACTGCCTGTGCACTGCCCCCTCCCCCCCAGTACCTATGATTATCTACAAGTGCCAAGAAGTACATCTGAGTAACCATGAACCTGCTGTTCTTTTTGCCTGTTTCCTATAAATATGCTTAAAGTGATGTCTTTTCAGGATTTGTTTAAATGACCTGGTCATACTGAATTTTTCAAAGGGAGGTAGAGAGTGGGAAAACTGACGTATTTGATACAAAGAATTTTTTTTAATTGATGTGTCTGAGAAAACAGAATACTTACAGAGAAGTGACTCTTTTTGATACTTTAAAGTTTAGAGTGTTTTATAAAGGGCACTGCAACCGAAATTATCATGAGAAATAGCATCCTTTTGTTTTCTGCCATCTTAATTCATCATCTTCATGATCATCTAATAGTCCATAGTGTGCATGGCCCACTGGCCTTTGGATAAAGAAAATCAAACACCTTAATCTCTTTGATTTCTTCGTGAAATCAAACAAATATTTGAAAACAAAACCCATATTGGGTACTTAAATGCCATGTCTTACAATGTAGACATTGTAAAACTATACTAATTTGGATCTAAATTATTTTCATATTTCTCTAATAAACCCTACCAAGCAAATAAGGAACTATGTTGGCACTGACGACCTGGTCTTTGTTACTAAATCATTAGGATGCCCCACAAGATCTAATCTTTCTTCCTGCTCCAAACCTTCTGCCCTACTTCCTAGACACCTTGCACAGAGCACGGAGATGGGATCTCACAGGCCTTAATGGTGCATCGTCCCATTTGATCCCTGCAACTGTGCTGGAAAATATGCTGATCAGACATCTATCAATTATATCTTATGAATGAAGAGCTAAGTGGCTTTGTGTCCTTAGGAAAGTTTCTTAAATTATCTGAGCATTGGTACTAGTCCCACCACATTAGGCTGTTTGGGGAATAAAATTAGAAAATGTATATCAATATTGTAGCAGAGTCTCTGACACATATTAACTGTTCAAAAATATAAACTATTACTTACATTGTTGGCTTAAATCTCTTGTTTTTTAGTTAATGAAGTCAGCATCAAAATCCAGATCTTCTAATTTCTGGTCTGGTGCTTGCAGGCTCCCCATTACCTATAACAAAAATGTTTATTGATTGATTGATTGATTTTGGAGAGAGAGGAAGGGAGAAGGAGAGAGAGATAGAAACATCGATGAGAGAGAACACTGATTGCCTGCCTCCTGCATGCCCCCTACTGGGGATCTGGCCCACAACCTGGGCATGTGCCCTGACTGGGAATTGAACCAGCAACCTCTTGATGCGTGGTTGACGCTCAACCACTGAGCCACAAGAACAAAGCAAAAAATGTTTAAATATAATAAAAATGTTTGTGTGTGACTCCTATTTATTTTGCCAGCCCGATTATTCTCCAGGCCCTCATCCCGGCACTGCAGCCAGCCCAGGCGCTCTCCCAGAGTACACGCACACTGTCTTCAGAATCGCTTTGGTCCAGAGACACCCACCCTCAGGACCCAGCTTAGCTGATACACGAGTGAACCTTACAGACCCACTCACAGGACCTTCTGCCTCTGTTTATAAGATTTCCTAAAATGTCTGTTTAATGGCTATCATCTCATTTTTTAAGTTTATTGTCTCTTTCCTACACAAAACCATGCACTCCTCAATGTCAGGAATTTTGTTTTACTTAACTTTGACCCTCATATCTGCCCATTGGTTAGTATTTGTTTGAATGATTCTAGATGTCTTTCTCTCCCCTTTATCATACCGTACCGCCACTTAGCTCAGCATGGCTTTGGCAGACTAGAGCCACAGCCTGAGGGCTCCACGTACTATTGTAGTAAACATTTAACCTGGCAATCTGGTTCCCCTGGCTAAATGTTGATTCCCATTCCTAGAAAATGTTTCATTTGTCTACCAGGGGATGGACAAGTACACTGAATCAACTCTAAACTCTTCCATGAGCATTATTCCACTTTCTACCGAGACTGCCCACTTCCCAGTCTCTCCGGCAGGTGTCCCCCTTGAGCACTGCACCGGCTCTGCTGTTCTCTCGTGTCCTGAGCACCGGCTTGCTCCTCTCTGCTCGCCCTTGGCATGCGCTTCACTCCGCCTAGGAGTCTCCCTCTCCCCTAAACATCAGCTTCTTCCATGACTGAGGACAGTCAGGTAGCTCTCCTGCTAGTCTCCTTCACAGTTCCCTAATGCTTTTGGCTTTTTTCCCTTTCTTTCTTTGTCCATACTTTGTACTTATATTTATTTGCTTACTTTTTGTCTGTTTTACATATTAGAAGTAAGTCCCATGAGGGCGGGGACTACATTTGTCTTATTGAGTATTGTGTGACAATACTTAAAAATAATTACCTATTGAATTACAAAATAATGAAAAATGAATATACTAGCATGGATGGTTTATCACATGTATCTTTTTAGTAAACTAGACTAGAGAGACTTAAGAAGAAGAAACAAAGTCAGTCAGTCTGCCAATAAGCCTGTGGTCACCCATCAGTCATCTGTTCAACCAAATGTTAGGTGTAGTGCTAAGTAGCAAAGTAGCCAGAAGAACCTGGACAGACCATGCCTTTCCGTTTCTCTTAGGATAATGAACAGAAGACTGTGATTTGGTCTTTAGTCCTTCTTAGCTTCAGGCCACTATTTCTCTTGTTAACTCTGACCCAACCATAGGGTCTTCTTTCAATGTTTCTAAAATGCCATTCTCCTTGCCTGGTCGGTGTGGCTCAGTGGTTGAGTGTTGATCCATGTACCGAAAAGTCGCCAATTCCATGTTCTCTCTCATCAGCATTTCTATCTCTCTCCCTCTCCCTTTTCCTCTCTCAAAAATCAATAAAGAAAAAAATTATTTAAAAAAAAATGCCATTCTCCTTACTACAAACATGACCCCACTTTACTCATTAGAAAAGATATTCTAGGTCAATTTATCTGATCCTCTCATGTACTCCAACTGTTTCTCGTCATTTCCTTAAGCTCATCAAAAATGTCCTGATGAGTGTATCCTTTGGCCTGTGCCCTATATTGCCAGGCTGCCACTGCAACAGACCACCTTCCCACCATCCTCCAGAATTCTTACACATTCTATACACCAAACAAAACCCCGCTCTTACCATAAGTACCCGAATATAACTCAGGGGGTAGGTCTCAACAATAGACTAGCTGAGTTTGCTGCAGGGACCATGGCAGACGTTTGGGAAACTGCGAAAGGCTCATTAACATGATGGAAGAGTGCGTCAAGGTCATAGAAAAGGAGGAGAAAGTTAAAACTCTGAAGCAATCAGGTTGGGTTTCATTTTCTCCTTGGAGAGCCTTCAGGGTAAATAAATTTCCTAATATTACAATGTCTTTTGTCATATAAGTAACATATTTTTACTAGTTGTACTTATCAAAAAAATTTAAAGGAATTAATCTTAAGAAAAAAAGATAGAATTTGCAAACAACCTCCTTGTCCCTTGTGTCTTCCTTACGTTAATATCTAAGTCGTTTGCATACAGTTGGGAAGACAGCACTAAGTACGGCGTCTTTCCAAGTTCATCGACATACCTTCCTGCCCCCCAGTATGAACTGGTAATTAATACAGCTTGCTATGTCTCTAGGATGACTTTATAAACACAACCCAGTGGTATTCATCTTCCAAAATTGAAAAATGAGAACGAGCTTTTCTCCGTTTAACTTTTTCTAAAGTTTCTGCAAGTTGATGCTCGTGTTACAGTCAAACATCAGCTGTACAGCTTTCTCTTTCTTCAGCTATTAGTCCCTCAGGTATAACTCTACAATCAAAGGAGGTCAGCTATATCCAAATAAAAATGTGCCAGAATGTCTCTGGCATCAATTTCTCCCTGAAGATTTCAGCAGTGTTACTTCAGGAGAGAAAGAAAAAGTACTCTGTTTTATCTAAAAAATCTGAGAACTTAATTCATTAAAAAAAAATAAAGGACTGAGTTATCCTTATAGAGAGCTGTGCAAGCATAGGGTCCCCATATCTCCGAGCGAGCTGTTTGTTTTTCTTTTTACTACGTTTTGAAAGAACTTGAACAATCTCAGAAAAATACTGCTACGTAGGAACGATATGGCTACTATTGACGAACCCTTCCCATATTACTATTAAATACTGAGAGGGCACAGAAATTCAAATTCAATTTGAGCATCATAGTCATTGCCCAGTGTCCAATTAATTTCAGAAGCAGCCGAGGGCCAGTTCTTGGCAAGATTCTGAAGTAGATGGAAAACATGTCAGTTGCCTAAACATCTGAATTTTTTCACTATTAATTCATTGTTCTGTTTCAAAGAATAGGCTTAGAGTGGAATGCCTCTTAAGGGTGTCTGCATGTTACTTGCCCTAGAAATAAACCAGCCTAAGATCACTTCATGAAGCCCAGAAGCTTCCCATCAGTACAGTGGAAAATGTGTCCCAATGGGGTTACACACAAACCTCATTTTCCTGAGAGCATTCCTCTTTCTGATTGTTCATATACTTACTGCCTAAACCAGATGTCATTTAAAACAGTTCTACTACTGAAAAGATATTTACTGAATGCCTACTATTTGCAAATGATCATAACAAGAATGAATAAATTTCCCCTCTGTTAATGCCATTAATTTCCAAATGTTCAATTTCTTTGTAATTGTTTCTTCTTTCTTTCGTTATTAACAAATTCTTCAGGCTGGTGGTTCGATGCTTGCGGTCCATCCAATCTGAACGGAATGTTCTATACGGCGGGACAAAACCTGGGGAAGCTGAATGGGATAAAGTGGCATTACTTCAAAGGGCCCAGCTACTCCTTACATTCCGCAACCATGATGATTCGGCCTTTGGATTTTTGAAGGCACAGTGTCAGGAGCAGTTATAACAACAACAGAGCAATCTGGAGAAGCTACCAGATGAGAAACTGCTTGAAAACTTCTGGAGCTAAACAATGTGTACCCCTTCCAGCAGCGGGTGGCAGTTATGTGAAATCGCCGAGGTATTGACTGGGGATTTGGAGCCTTTCGAGTTCGCAGAAGCTCTACTTGGGGTGACCGTGTTCCTATGGTTGATGATGGAGGATGCCACTCACTGTCATGCTTTAAAAAGGGAAGAAACTGCTCAGCTCACTGTGCTTCAAACTACTACTGGATCTTATTTTGAAACTGCGGTAGCCAGGTGATAAATATAGTTTATGTCATGTAAAACCGAAGAAGAAGAAAGTGAACAACAACAAAAAAGAATGTACATGAAGAAGAGAAACCAGCCTGCCATAATCCTTTGGAAAAGATGTATCACACCTGTGACATGGTGTTATTTCTATGCAAACCTACTAACAATCAGTTTATACTGTTGCACAATTTTAGTAAAAGTTCAGGAAGAGCAGCATTGTTCTCTGAGTTAGTTACATGTTAATGGATTTCAGAAGCCTAATTCCTAAATCATACTTACCACTTGATTTCACTTAACCCATCTTCAAATGTAAATTCCATTTTGTTGAATCATAATGAACTGTAGTGCGTGAAGAATAACAGTGTGATGTCGGAACATGCTTCATTACTCTTTGATTTTGTGATACAGTTCTCAGAAAAAATGGACATATTCAAGTATGGACCTATAAGGTAAAAAATTATTCCCCCATGCTACAGTTTTCATTTACTTTAAAAACTGAATGACTGATATATAAATATATTTATAGCCTGAGTAAAGTTTAAAGAATGTGAAATATATCATCAAGCTCTTAAAAATAATATACATGCATTTAATATTTCCCATGATATTATACATGAAAGCAGTTTTTTTTAGAGTGTATTAAATTGAAGTAAAACCAAGTAAACTGGAACAGTATTTTCATGCATGTGTACATGTGAGTGTAACTTCATTATTTTTAAAATAATGATCTTCAATTCTTCACCCTGTTATTTCATGCTAATTTAATTTTTGCTAACTGAAACATCCTTTCCAGATTTACCCTGTTCCAGTTTCTATAAAAGACACACTTTGAAGTCTATGAAAAATAAAAGAATTATATTGTATATAGTGTGTTTATATCCACAGTAAACCTAATAGCTGTTTAATCTGGGATATCCAACATTGTTCTTAATGGATGCAAATAAACACAAGTTTTCAAAGAAATCTACACTACTTTATGAAATACATCATTTCTTCATATTTTCCCCCTCAGGCATTCTTTTCTTAAGCAGTTTCAGATTTTAAAAAATCATTATTAGTGATAAAAATTGGCAAAACTCTGTATTATGCATAAGGGAAACACAAAAAATTAATCATAGTCACCTATGGAATAAGAAAAGTCTGCTAGTTGCTGTAAATCTCTTAATGAAAATATGCCTGGGTTATAATCGATTTTAAGTGAATTGGAGGACATACATTTTTGTTGAAATTTGAAGTTACTACTGTTTTTCAGTGTTCAAGTTTACAATAGTGAACAGGTTTTATTAAAATATGAGATATAAAATTAAAATACCTATTGGGTGTTCTTTTAGAAAAATAAAAGTATTTTTCAAAGCAGCAGTGCTGGTCTCAAACCTGGTGACTCCATCAGCTGTGCCTTTCGGCTCTCCTCTAGTTGAGAGAACAGAGCTAGTTCATTCTGAAGAGAGTATTTTTTTAAATTTACCATCCAAATGTTATATTTATGCATCTGTATACAACCTTGTTTTGCCTTGCACATGATATTTGCAGGTGTTACACAGTTTCTCTATTCTTGGTGACTCCTTCATAGTATGTTTAGTCTCTCCTTCTAAAAACCCTCTTGAATGTTTTCATTTAAAAGACTGAAAATGAGTGTTTAATTCTTTTGTGTTTCTACAGATATTTTATACCAGTTTTTTGATAAGAAATACTATTTCCCAACTTATATTACCAGAATAAAATGAAATAACAATAACAAAAAGTCAAGCATGATATTTACTGTTTTCTTATCTGGGTTTGAAAAATGAAATATTGTTTCCAATTATTTATAATAAAGCAGTATAAAGTGTTTTATGACTTCGTTATGTGCGTTGTGTAATGCCTACATGTTTTGGGCCATTTAACATGTATATCCTTTGCATTTAAGTATTTCAGGATAAGATAATTAGGTATTAGGATTTTGTCTTTAAATCTTTATTTCAATAAAATTCATATGGTTTCTATGAACATTTCTTCACATCAGTCACAGCTTTATTTGATTTAAATAAAATTGAAAATAGCGTCTTTGTGCAACCTTATATCATTTTAAATAAATGTTGTTTTTTTAAAATCAGAGACCTATGGAAGTATGGAATGACTGAAAAACAAAAACAAAAAACTACTAAATGAACTAAAGCCTCGATCTTTGAAAAGCTTTGCGTCTGGGATATGATAAGAAAGCTTAGCTTCATTAGGATGGTCCATGAAAGCAATGGGTCTGAGTCCCCCATTTCCACTGCATGATTGTTGTGTCCTGCCGGTTACCAAATGCCTCCTGCCTGTCTGTCTGCTCTATCTCGGCCAGCAGGGAGAGCTACTGGGCGCGTTGTGATGGTGGGAGCTAGGAGGATACCACCATCACCTAATTCTGCCAACAGAACAGTGACTGCCCTACCTAAGTTTCTTTTATATAAATAAAAAATTTAAATGCATCTTTTCCCTACATCTGCTATAAGGAACCAGAATCAACTAAAAAAAAAAAGTGCTAAACCATTGTAAGTGAAACATGGATTTAAAATAAAAGATTATAGGCAGCAAATATTAATTTGTGTGCATGCTAATACAATGTCTAAACACCAAGACAATCATGTAAAAGATTAGAGAGGAAAATCATTAAGGCTCCAGGTTAATTTGACTATTTCCATTAAGAAGAAAGGTATAAGCATAACAATCATAATGAGATGCTGGATTATAGTTACATACGCTTTTTCTTAGGAAATTATTTTATAGCAGAATGTGAATTATATTTAACAAATATATTGAACAGTTAATAGCATCCGGATGAAGTATTAGGAAGATACAAGGGATACAGATGATTAAAGCATATGAAATTAACAATTAGTGAGAAAAGCAAATAAGTAGACATTACTGAGCAGTAGAAAAAAATTTAATTTCTAGAGTTGATATAAGAATCTTTAAGTTGCATCTAGAATAGTGAGACAAGAGTAAGTGTGCTGAAGGCTGTGTTGTGTATAGTTGTGCATGATAATGTGTGTAAAGAATGAGTAATGCAACTCAATAGTAAATTTTATATATACATGTTTTTAAATTTAAAAGAAACATGTAGGCCTCCCTCAATTTACATCAGCCATTTCATGGAAGGTGCATCTAAGTTTCATTTTGAAAGTGTATTGGTAGTTTACAGGGAGACAGAGGAGGAACTACAAAGGCATAAAAATGTCAGGAATCATGGAGTTATGGGCACCGCCGAGTCACTCACTGTGAATGGACTGTAAAGTTTATTTGCGGGAGGGGCAGCGGGAGATGAGGCTGGAGATACGGCCAGATAGTGAAGGACTTCAAGTCATGTTCCTGAGCTTAGGTTTTATGTTCTTAGAGGGAGACAGTGCAGGGTTCTGCACACTTTGGAAAGACTCTACTTGCTGCAGTCAGTATGCATCGGTAAGGGTAAGACTGGACAAGTTTGGATCAGCAAAGAGGCTCTTAACAAGCCCACAAAGATAAGGACGTGATCTGTGCAGCAGTGATAGTGGGAATGAATGGACGGGAGAAACTGGATTTTGAGAGAAATTAAAGAGAAAGAATAGAAACGAACTTTAAGATCAGGTGGAAAGTGGGAACAAGATCAAGGTCATTCCATGTTTTTGTCTTGCTTAATTAGCTAGAAGGTGGTACAACTGCCCAAAATAAGGAAGTAGCGTATGAGTTAGGTTTTACATGTTGAGTTTGGGATGCCAGTGATTTCTTCTGGTGATTGGATACATGAGTCTGAGCTCAAGCAGGACTAAAGCGGAAGACTTCGGACCCTACAGGATGTAGGCCGAAATTAAAATGACTGGATGAGATCATTTCATGAGAGTATATAGTGAAACAGAACTCAGAAAAACTTGGTTGCACATAAAAATTGTAAGGAGCAGGTAAACCAGGGGAATTCAGAAAGGAGATGAGAAATGATGGTTAGATAGACCAGACCCAGGAGGAAATGGCATCGTAGCGGACTGCATTGAGAACCAGGGATGTGGAACTCGCCACAGAGGGTGAGGCATTATGCAAAGTGTCCTTTGGATTTGGAATTTAATGGAAAATTGGTGACTTTTATGAGGTAGCATTAGAAGTGTAGGGTTAGAAGCCAGATGAAAAGAGGGTTCTGATGAAATGGAAAGTAAGTACGTGAGGAGACTTAGATAGACCCCTGCCATTTAGACTTTCTCGAACAGCATCACAGGCTGGGGACTGGTTAGAAATGCAGAATCTCAAGCCCACTCCGGACTATCAAATTAGAATCTTCATTTTAACAAGATCCTCAGGTGACTCCTATGAACATTAAAGTTTGAGAAGCTTTGGTTTAAGATTATACTTCCAAGAATATGGCTGAGGCCTGGCTGGTGTGGCTCAGCAGTTAGAGCGTTGACCCTCGCACCAACGGGTCTTGGATTTGATTCTGGTCAAGGGCATGTACCTGGGTTGTAGGTCTGATCCCCTGCCCTGCAGGGCACATGCAGAAGGCAACCAATCGATGTGTCTCTCTCACAACCATGTTTCTCTCTCTTTCTCTCTCTCCCTCCCCCACTTTCCACTCTCTCTAAAAATCAATTTAAAAAAATCTTCAAGTGAGGATTAACAACAACAACAATAAAAGAATATGGCTGAGAATGGAGGAGATAGGATGCTAGAGGGAGACAGGACAGTGTGTGGGATGAGAGGTGTGTGAGTGTGTCTGCAAGCCGAGGACATGAGCCTTCAGAAGGGCTGAGGTTGAAGGTCCTGGATGGAGCAAGTGTCTGAGGTGGCTGGGGACACGGGATTAAGAGCCAAGGAGTGAGCGGAGGCTTTGTCTGAACAGGAGAAACGTCTCTTCCTCTAAGAAAAGAGACTGGGAGGAAACGAGTTGCCATCGGAAGAACAGCTGCCTAATGGCCTCTGTTTTATAGGGGAAGTGGAAGGGAAGGAAACTTTACGAGACTATAGGCAGTTCAATTAAACAGAGTTTGAAAATGGGTTCAGAATAGTCACTTACGGTAATCGGAGAACTAACTGACCAGAGAAGTTCCAGCTTTGTACCCAGGGCTATGAAACATTTGAGCCTGGAAATCATGCATGTTACCAGGCTAACCTGCTTTTCCCACTGATTTTCACAAGTGTCAAAAATAATGAATAGCATCACTCTTAACAGCTTCTCTCTGCCACACCTGGGCCACTTTACAACCTCTCCGCCTGGTTCAGTCCACAGCGTTTGTGCCTCTGACTGTTCACACCAAGGAAAACTTGCCTCCTCTTTGAAGTCCACCCAAGTTTCCCCAAACTCAATTACTCACTCGTCTACTTTTACTTCTACTTATGTTACAGGATTTTCACAGTTTGACTTGCATTCTGGTCAACTGTTAACACACTTGTTCCCTCTCCAAATAATGAGCATTTTGAGCAGGTATCAAATTTAATTCGTTTTGTGTTCTTAGAACCTAATGTTGTACCTGTCACATTCTTGAATCCAAATTAATGGTTTGCTGTCTTTTTTTTTGTTCCAGACTATCAACTCCTCGAATTCTTACTCTGCGTCTT